ATACCCAGTTCCTGCAACCGTTCTTCATATGTTTTAGCCTCCAGTCCCCTAATCCTCTTTGTTGCTCCTCTCAGCACTCTTTTCAGAGTCTCCACATCTTTCCTACATCGTGGTGACCAAAACTGAATGCTGTAATCCAAGTGCGGCCCTACCAAGGCCTTATAAAGTGGTATTAACCCTTCACGTGATCTTGATTCTATCAGATCTATTCTATTCTACTTTTCAGATCATTCACTGGTTTCTCTTTTTGCCTTAATTTGTTGTTCTTTTTTCTTTTGGTTTTCTCCCTCTAGACCCATCAGCTTAACAGTGGCCAAATGCTGGGATCCTACCCCCAGGAGTTACTTCACAATCCCCAGGGGTGAGTGACTGCTCCTTGCTACATTTTTCGGCATGAAGGTTTTTTTTTTAGTCAATATCCATCTCTGTTTGGTAAAAATTGCAAAGAGCAATGCTTTGTATTCAGCGGTGGGTTTCACATTTTCTTACCATCAGTTCGCTGCGCACGGGCCCTCCCCCCTTGCAGGTGTGCGCGCCCTTCCACACATGCGTGCTCACCTTCCACGCATGCGCCTAGCCTCAAAAATGTGCCTAAATGGGATGGCATAGAGCGAGGGCGGACAATTTCAGCTGCCGATTCAGGTGAACCAGTCCGAACCGGCTGAATACCATTTCAGTTCATATCCATATCACCTCTAGCTGAGATGGGTGGCCTATGCATTTAATAAATTAGTCAATGTTGAATATTTGGGAGTGCCGTACTCTGTTACCAAACCTTCTCAGAGTTTTTTTTATTTATAGGGATATGATGGTGGTGAGGTATGTCTTAGTTTTTCCAATTCTAATAGAGAGCCAGCCAGGGTAGATATTTTGAAGTCACCCTGAATTGTGTGGTTTCCTTGGGTGATCAGAAATAATATTCAGGGTTGGAATTCTGTCGGTGTTCTCCCTCTTTGAAGGAGGATAGGGAGGTTCAAAAAATGCTCATTAGGAATGAATGAATGAGTGAAGGAAGGAAGGAATGAGTGGGCTGTGGCAATGGAGGAAAACTACGCCAGAGGAAGAGAGATTATTTTTAATAGCTTACTAGCCGATAAACCGGCGTTGCCAAGCTGTTTATTTATAGGGGGAAAATGTTCAGACCAAACATAATTTCTAATGTTGGATTTTTCCCCTTGTGGAATACTGTGAAGCCGTTGCCATGGCAACTCCACTGCACTGTACAGGAGAAGCCATTTTAAGGCACAACAGGCTATATCTTAACAGAACACACGCCCCGAGGGGCATTAGGGGAGTCTTACCCCCACAGTATTTATTTCCAGAGAGTAGGTCATCTGGGTACCAAGTTTGGTTGAAATTGCTTGAGGCGCTCCAGCTGGCACATACACACACACACATACACACAAACAAACACACACACACACCCATATATATATATAAAAAGAGAATAGAGATAGATTGGTGGATGGATGGATAGATAGAAGATAGATAGAGATAGAGATAGAGAT